TCTATCCGTTGTTGTGTTTACATATTCTCCTCTTCAGGGGATGACCTGGTTCTCTTTTTTTCCCCTTATTTGAAAGTTCACTGTTCAGTAAATTCTTAATGTGATGGATGGGCTAGATGAAGGGATACCAGAAAAATATGCTTTTTCAAAGGAAGTGGCAATCAGCTATTTTCCAAACTGTAGGCGGAACTCCAGGATGTGGGACCCGGAGAGTCCCTGTTTTTGAAAACCTGGTTACAGTCAGAGATGAAGACTCTGATCCTCTCTTTATCTGCACAAGCCACAGGGAGAACTTGTGGTACCCAAAACTAGAACCCCTGATTTCTAGATTTAAACCTTAAATATTGAAATGGCCCATTTCTTCCCGACTTCCAATGAAACCATTCCATTTACTGTCATGCAAATCCCCCTTGCGGGTACGACAGATTCCTTCCCCCCATGTATTTCCCATTCGCCTCCTCAACTTCCCTGCTGTATTTATGATTGGCAGATCACTCTTCTCTCTGGGGCCAGGGAGCAGCCGAGCACCGGAGGCAGGAAGGGCAGCGGCAGAAAAATCTGGGCCAGAGGTTTGGGGGAGGCGAGGCGGAGGGAGGGAGGGAAGACGTGGTTTTGGAGGAGAATAAAGCTCTGTCGCCATGCAGGAAGGCCTCTGCCATTGCATCACTAGGTCTTCCTGCAGCCCCCTTTGCATCCTCACCTACCTTAAAACCTGCTCCGCCTCACCTTTGGCCTGCCCGTGCTTAATGAAACCGGCGGGGCCTGGGCCAAAGCAGCCGGGGGGGGGGGGCGCTGCAGGCTTGACATGCGGTGGGCCGAGGTGGGTGGGTGGCTGGGAGAGAAACAAAGGCTCTAATGGCAGGATGGGCGGTGCCCTCCTTCCATGCTGCTGGCTGGCAAGGGCTGCTCAATCAGTGCAGGCCAGCAGAGAAAGAGAGGCAGCCCGTCCTCCGCCTCCTCTTGGAACCTGCCTGTCCGCTCTCCCACTTCCGGGCGGCAAAGCAGACGGGAGGCTGATATGCTCGGGCTTTGGTGCCTCAACTCGCCAAAGGAAGCTACGGCAACCCTGGATCGCTTTTTACAATCTGGGTTTTTTAAAAATAAATAAATCAGGGAGGAGGGGCACAAAACGGAATAGCCAGGTAAAGCCCTTGCTTTGTGGGTAAGGATTTCAAGAGGAACCCCGAGTGGGGAGAAGGAGCCTTGTGAAAGAAACGAATTGGCTTCTCTGCTTTGCTTTTAAACGCACCCATCGGTGTGTGTTTCTCCGTTTTCTTCCCTATCGCTGGTATGAGGCTCTCGCTGGAGGCTGGATGGCCTTTCTGGGGCTTGTTATTTACACACAACACACTATATCCCCTTCTATGGTCCTGTCATTCCAAGTAGAGTCCTGCGCCCTGCGAGGGGGCCACTTCCAGCACTCTGCCATCTTCCTTGCCTCTTAGCATCCCCCTGCCGCCCCCTTAGTGCCCCCCTAAGTCATCCCACCGGGGCGGGCTAATGACGACCACCCCTAGCCCCACCAGGCTTTCTGTGAGTCTCCAGATACTCAGGCAGTTGATGGTAGCATTTGTGCTTTTTTTAAAAAAAGTCTCTAGTTTTTTCCTTAGGATTCTCAGGAGTTCCAGGATGGCACAATCGCCAAGTTGAGGGCTGAGTCGATAACTGGGTAGTACCTAGTGACCAGGGCGTGGTCCAAAGAGCTTATCTGACTCAGCCCAATCAACGAGAGGACAAGGTCAACCCATCCTGGATACTCCTCCCCTCACTATGGAAAAGTGATACCACCTTAATTTCTTATGTTGGATTTTCCCCCTTACCAGAGGAAGCCCCCTTGTGGGGTACTGTGAAGCCATTACCATGGTGACTCTACTCTGCTGCACAGTAGAAGCCATTTTACGGCAGTACAGTAGAAGCCATTATAAGGCACAACATCTTAGCAGAACACCCCCTCCCCTAAGGAGTGTTACGGTATCTTACCCCCAGTATTTGTTTCCAGAGGGTAAGTCATCTGTGTACCAGGTTTGGTTGAAATTGCTCTGTGTATGTTCCAGANTCTAGATTTAAACCTTAAATATTGAAATGGCCCATTTCTTCCCAACTTCCAATGAAACCATTCCATTTACTGTCACGCAAATCTCCCTTGCAGGTGCAATGGATTCCTCTCCCCCCCCCCCAATGTATTTCCTATCCGCCTCCTCAGCTTCCCTGCTGTATTTATAATTGGCAGGGCGCTCTTCTCTCTCGCCACGGACTGGGGGCAGGGAGCAGCCGGAGCACCGGCGGCAGGAAGGGCAACGGCAGAAAAATCTGGGCCAGAGGTTTGGGGGAGGCGGGGCGGAGGGAGGGAAGATGTGGTTTTGGAGGAGAAACAGAGGCTCTAACGGCGGAATGGGCAGCGCCCTCCTTCCACGCTGCCGGTTGGCAAGGGCTGCTGCTCCAGTGCCAGCCAGCAGAGAAAGAGAGGCAGCCCCCTCCTCTGCCTCTTCTTGCAAAGAGACTCAGCAGCCCTCCAGGACCCTCCCCTCCCTCCCTCTATCTCCGCCTCCTGGGCTTAGGAACCCACCTCTCCGCTTTCCCACTGCAAAGCAGATGGGAGGCCAATATGCTTGGTGCCTCAACTCGCCGAAGGAAGCTTGGCTCCTACGCCGAGCCTGGATCGCTTTTTTCAATCCGGGTTTTTAAAAAATAAATAAATCAGGGAGGAGGGGCACAAAACAGAATAGCCAGGCAAAGCCCTTGCTTAGTGGGTAAGGATTTCGAGAGGAGCTCCCAAGTGGGGAGAAGGAGCCTTGGGAAAGAAACGAGTTGGCTTCTCTGCTTTGCTTTTAAATGCACCTATATAGGTGTGCGTTTCTCCATTTTCTTCCCTATCGCTGGTATGAGGCTCTCGCTGGAGGCTGGATGGCCTTTTTGGGGCTTGTAATTTATACACAACACACTATATCCCCTTCTATGGCCCTGTCATTCCAAGTAGAGTCTTGCGCCCTGCGAAGGGGCCACCTCCAGCACTCCTCTGCCACCTTCCTTGCCTCTTAACGCCCCCTGCTGCCCCCCCTTGCCTCTTAGTGCCCACCTAAGTCATCTCCCCCAGGGGGCAGTACTGCCCACTTTGGGAACCACTAGTGTAAGGCAAGCTCCCAGGTCTTTAAATGAAAATGCTAAGCTTCCGATACTCCTCAGTGTTAATTGTGAGAGAAATATCGACTCCTCAAGTACTCCCAGAAAATAGCTGAAGGCACTAAATACGGCAAGGCCAAAGTTGGCATCATACCTGAATGGAGAAAGCAAGGTAATAAAATGGCCTACGTTCCTAAAAAGATGGGTTATTTAGTTTAGCGTCAAGTGATCCGATACCATTAATAAATCTTTGGAGGGGGTACCCTAAAAAAGATCTCCAGCCAGAAAACAATTCGGTGAACTTTGACAACTGAAAGAATTCTAAAGAGTATAAAAGTCCAAATCCAAAATTCCTGAGGAAAGTGGATCTCCGTTAAGGAGAAAGCTAAGTGAAGGAGAGCAAGCAACGCTTTCGAGACCACCACACCACGAGAAGAAGAAAATAAACACCTTAGACTGAGGTAAACAACGAGAACCCCTTTACGACCTGTAGACGTCAATTCCCAGAATTCCTAAGCCAGCATTGCTGGTTCAGGATTCTGGGAGTTGAAGTCCACAAGTCATACAAGGCCATAGTGGCACACTCCATCCCTACCCTACCCCCCAAATTCTACAATCACAGGAATTGCACAGAGAATGAGGGGGAAAAGCCCAGAAGTCACCAGACCCTTGTTCAAGGACTCAGCCCTTCTTCTTGGTTTCTTCCAGAGGGCAGGGGTAATGTTCCTGCAGCAGCAGACAAAAGTAGAGAAGCGAAGATGCAGTCCTCAATGCTTCTAGGCCCAGTCAGGCCTCTCACTTCTTTTCCACGGGGACACGGACCTGATGCCAAGCATTATTGAGGACTCCCAAAATGTTCCAGAGTGGTTCCACACGTTCAGGTTGCACATTGTAGCTGGTGTCCACAGCTTTGCAGACAATGTTCAACTCCTTGGTTCCAGCAGGCACAAAAGCATCCAGCTGCCAAAGCTTCCAAGCCCAAGCTTGGCCAGGCAGCTGCTCCTCACCAGTTAGTGTTGCCTCTTTCCAGTTTTTCCCACCATCCAGAGAGACATCTACACGGATCACCCTCTGCCCCCCGCCACTCCACGCATAGCCCTTCACCTTGAGCTCCCCAGGAGAGACAGATGTCTTAGAAGATGGCTCAGTGATGGCGGATTGGATGGGCATCTCTTGAATGGCAGGTGCCTTGGAGAAATCCACTGTCTCCCAAGTTACAGAAGAAGAGAATCCTTTGTAATCCTTTTGCTGCCAGTGGCTCTTGCTTTCCTCTGGCCCCACTGTAATCCGAGCCAGCCATTTAACACTACGAGCCCCCACCACTCCTGGCACAATAACTCTCAGAGGGAACCCATGGTCTCGAGGCAGCTCCTCCCCATTCATCTCATATGCCAAGAGGACGTCCACATCCGGACTCATGGCTTTCTGAAAAGGGATGGAGGCTCCATATACAGTGCCACTCTGATCCTGGTCCAGGCCCTCAAAGGAGACATGACCCTCATACCCTGGTTGATACCCGGCTTGCATTAGAACATCCCGAAGCCGGGCACCACCCCAACAGGCATTGCTAATGGCCCCAATGCTCCACCCGAGCCGGTTGGTATTCTGGATGGCGTTGATCTCTGCCCGGCGATTGCCAGCACACTGTATGGTGGCGGTAACCTCGTGTTTTGGAAAATTCTGTTTCAGATCTTGCAAAGAGAAGGACAGGGCCTGTCCGGAGGGACTCTGAATACACAGGCGATAGGCTTCAGGGTCCACAACCGGCACTGGGAGATGGTTGCGCTTGAAGAAGAGCTCGTTAGGGGTCAAAAAATATTCCGCCAGTAACTCTGGAGGAGGTTCTGCATTGAAGGGCTTGAGGGTATTGACTCGGAGGGCAGGGTGGCGCGGGGGATCATTGGCATAAGGGTCATCTGGACTTGGCAGAGGAGGCTCTTCTGGGCTCAGCTCTCCTATTTTATATTCCTGAAGGATCTCTTGGACGTGATCTTGTTTGTGCATAGCATAGAGCGCCCAGAAGGGTTCCAAAGCCCCGCCTGCTGCCAGAAGAATCTTGCTTTTGCCCCCGGGGTGAAGCTCTAAGAAATCGGTGACATCAAAAACTTCATTGCCGTAAGTCACCCACACCCGATTTGCTTCGTTATGATGGCGGCCCACTTCTTCTCGGGTGAAGCGAGGGAATGAGGCAGTATGGGTGGCCGTTGGAGACTCAGCCGTGGCTGTCTGTGAGAAAATCAAAAGAGGCAATCAGGAAAGGAACAATACCAGAGGTGGGATTCAGCAGGTTCTGACCAGTTCTGGAGAACCGGTAGTGGAAACCAGTAAATACCACCTCTGACTGGCCCTGCCTCCATCTATTCTCTGCCTCCCAAGTCCCAGCTGATTGGGAGGGAATGGGATTTTGCAGTAACCTTCCCCTGCCACACCCACCAAGCCATGTCACGCCCACCAAGCCACGTCCACAGAATTGGTAATAACATTTTTTGAATCCCACCACTGGACAGTACACATGGATTTGGAGCGGGCACATTCCAGTGACTCTCTTTGCCTACGCAGATTCCCCTAACCAGATTGTTCAGGCTGAAGAAGTTGCTTGTATGGACAGCTAAATGTCTCAAACCAACAAAAAAATACGTCCAGCTGCCATGATTTAACTTCCTCCAGATATTTCTATCTGGATGACTAAGAATCTTCATCAACAGTACTCAGAGATGTTCCTCTCAACTCAAGAGCTCTACCAGGCATGGTTTGAACTGTCCAGACCACAGTCCAAAAATAGCGTAAGCCAGGGCCTACATGGGGATGCAGTTTAAGCAGTTTTAAGCAGCAAAATAGCTGCTTGAGGCATCTGTCTCAAGCTAAAAAAAAAAAGGAGGGAACAAATATCCATTATTTGGCCACAAAAGGCATCACAGTGACTGCACGTGGGGCATACTTTTGGGGCCCCTTCAGTAATGGGGCCTTTCTGTCTTAAATAGTCTCTGTTTTCTTAAACCAGAAAGCATTTCGGAAGTCTCAACTGAAGCAGAGTTTCAACACCCCCCTCCCCCCAGCAGCCTGGAGCCTTCCGCGCTCCATTCCTAGGTGATATGCCGTGCCATCTTTCACTCCCTCACCTGCCAATGGCGGTTTCCATAAGCCAAGATGCTGCACACACCCAGGCCTGCTCCCGCTGCTACCATCAGCCTGCGTCTTCTGCTGCCAGCACTGTTCCAAGTGCTATGGGTACAGAAGGGGAGCCGCACCCAATAAGTGGGAGGACAGTTTCTCCAAGCCATCTCTCTTAACCTGTAAGGGAAAAAACAAAATGGGTCAAATGCAATACTTTAAGAAGACATGTACACCCAGAAACACTTCACACAAGTTAAGCCTTTCTTAATAAAGATCCTGAAGATGAAACTCAAAATTCTTTGACCACCTAATGAGAAGGACGGACTCACTGGAGAAAAGCCAGTGAAAGACAATATGTCATCTAGTATCTTAAGAGGTCTCTAAAAAGAGGAAGAAAAAAGGACATATTATGAAAGATAACCTAATAATAAGCTAGAAGCTGTGTCTCTGAATATTAGGGACAAGGAACATAGATCAGCTGTTCAGCTGAACTGCTACCCAGTTTGCACAGTTCCTGGAATTAAAATGATTGTGGCCCACAAAAGTAGCAGGCCAAATCAGATGGATGCTTGATCCTGTCTAGCAGGGCTGCTCTATGTTCTGAAGGGCTTCAGGTTATCATGGCGGAATTCTCAGTAGCCTTCCAAAGCTATTTTACCCCCTCAGTTCTTCATGGATGGTAATGACAGATGGTTATCAAGTTGGGTTTTGCAAACCATGGTTGAGTCCTTTCTGATCGTAGAAAGCACATACTCTATTCTGCAAGCAGCCGTTTAAGAAGAGGTGTCCCGGAGTCCTTTAAATGTATAGGTAAAAGTTCCCCTCGCATATATGTGCTAGTCGTTCTCGACTTTAGAGGGTGGTGCTCATCTCCGTTTCAAAGCCGAAGAGCCAGTGCTGTCCAAAAACGTCTCCGTGGTCATGTGGCCAGCATAACCAGACGCTAAAGGCTCACGGAACGCTATTACCTTCCCACCAAAGGTAGTCCCTGTTTTTCTACTTGCATTTTTTATGTGCTTTCGAATTGCTAGGTTGGCAGAAGCTGGGAGAAGTAACGGGAGCTCAGACTATTACGTGGTGCTAGGGATTCGAACTGCGGACCTTTCTGATAAACAAGCTCAGCGTCTTAGCCACCATGTCCCTTTTCCTTTAAATGTACTGGGTCACAACTATGAGCTTTTTGAATGTGCTGAATCATGTGGCACACTTACAAAACCTGTGATGCAAATACAGAAAAACAACAGCAAAGGAAGCTGTAGAAATCCATTACTGGAAGAAGGAGGAAGGGGAGAAAGTGTTAAACGAAGCTGCCAGGAAGCAGAGGGAACTCTTCTCTGGTCTCCAAGCAACAAAATCTAAGAATCCCCCTAACCTACTTTCAAATAAATCTTCTTAAAACAAAAGGGTGGTTCCCTATTTTCAGAGAGAATAGTGTGAACATGCGACCTAGAGGGCGAGTTGCCAGATGTCTAACGCAAGAGAGTTTGTTCAGTTCCTTGGCTGGCCTTCTCTTGACTTGGCAGAGTTCAGCTTTGTTTTTGAGAGCAGCTTGCGTTCACCACATGTAGCAAGCTTCTGAAATGTTGAAAATAAAGTCAACAAGAAAGCACCTTCTGGATTATGATGAGAAAAAGGAAAAAAACCATTTCCCTGAAAGCAGAGGCAAGCGAACTTTTTGCAGCTGAATTGTTCCTTTTCTTTAAACATCCCCCCCCCCTCAATTTGGGTCTTTAAAGTCAGAATGAGTTTGGCCCCCAAGGCTGCAGTACAACTAAAGCACACGGATCCAATTTTTCAAGAAGCTTAACATGCCACTGGAGGCTCTATTTTAGCATGCACAAAGTCTAGTAGTACACCATCAATTTTTTAAAAAAAGGAAAACTCTTTTCTGCTACACTTGGATTGCTTGATCTTTAGTTTGAAACTTCTGAACTTTTGCAATCTAAAGCAGTAGATTAACTTTTCAGGAATCTCAAACATTACTGATTAACATTTTCCTCCACTCAAGGTGAAATTGAGTGAGTAATAAAAAGGATCTCCGAGTTTGTATCCTTGGTCTGGAACTGTAGAGGTAGAAGCCCCACTAAAAGGGAAAGGAAACATTTATAGATAAGATTAGAGGCCTATAAATATCAGGGCAAGGAGCCAAGGCAAACAGACGGAAATAATATTATTTAGGTAAGTTGGGCTAAGGTGTCAGGATTTGTTTTTACTAAGTTGTAAAACTTTTATTAATAACCTGTAACACGATTTGAGAGGGGAAAAAACGGCAGGTTGGAGTTGGGGCAGTTTTGAAAAGAGGACAAGAAGAAGTTGATAGACCAAGCTAAGCTCTTGCAAGACGGCTATTATTTAATTAAACTGATTTAATCTTGCCTGAAATTAAAATTTGGGTAATTTAGACTTTTTAAAACAGTATCAACACTCTAAAAAGAAGACCTTTGAGCTTTACTGCCTTTTTTCAATCCTACAAGGCAGTGGTGTCAAGCTCCCATCGTCATAGCATTGTCACGAGACGTATCAGGCCTCCCCCCCCTCGCTAAACCGGGTGTGGCCGGTGTGTGATGCATCTGGCCCTTGGGCTGGGAGATTGACAGCCCTGTTATAAGGTAACAGTAACGTAGAAACAAGTTCACTGACTAAAAATAATTCTAAAGGGAAATGGTCAACAATGATATTCCAATATCTTATAAGCAATCTTAATACATGACATAATGAATAATGAGGTTATCTCATCATTCTTCTTCTTAGCTGAACCCCTTCTAACTTCATCAAGACAGCATTAATAAAAAGCATCTCTGATAATAACTTTTAATTATTGCCACCATGTCTAAGATTCCAGTTGACAAAGTGTTCTGGACAGTAGCTTTTTGCATCCACTTTGACAGAATTATAGGAAGCAGGAATTCTGAATCTGGATATATTGTTCAGAATTTAAAAAATTCACTTCACTATAAATATGCTCTCAAATGAGTAACTCTTTTTTCATACCAGTATGTTCTCTGAAGGGTACAGAAACCATTTCCGCTGGATCTGGACAGCCACATCTTCCCCAAACCTACATGCAAAAGAGAGAATCAGCAAATGTTGTTACAAGAAGGGGGGAAAATCACGCAAATGCCTACTATAGGCACCTTTGAAAAATCACATTCTTCTCCTTAACTTTACTGCTGGCAAATACATATATGGCTTAGGCTCGGTAAGCATTATAAGTCAAAATATGGCTGGAGATTAGTGCAGAAAATATTCAAATCTATTTTTAAACAGCTATTCCTAGAAAGTTTGGAAAGCTAATTGTTACCAGTATGTGCCAAGATGATAGATATGCCCATTAGATAATCACTTCACTAGTATACTGTTGAAATATATATGTATGTATGTATGTATGTATGTATGTATGTATGTATGTATGTATGTATATCCAGGTTCCATCAGGGGTGGGTTCTGGATTCTCCTACTGTCGGTTTGCTCTGGGATGCGCTTTGGGCGCGGCCGCATGCTTGATGCACGCTATGTGCGCATGCGCAGTAGGTAAAAAAATGCTTCTGCACATGCACAGAAGCAAAAAACAAGATGGCGGCGCCTATGGTACTGCCGATAGAACCGGTTCAGGGGTGTGGCCAGCCAAGTTACTACCTACTCAGCCGAACCGGTAGGAACCCACCTCTGGATTCCATTGAGTAAGCTATGGCATTTACTAAAAATATAAGTGTATTTTCTCTGCTGCCCCACCCTCTGGAATGAGCTCCCTCCCCAATTCAAATGGTATCCATCCTACTGGGATTTTGAAGGGTCCTTAAAAGCCTGGCTCTTTGTCCAGGCCTTTAAAGAGTACAATTGATAACCCTTTCTTCCTTCCTGTTTCTCTCTGCCACTGTTTTCCCTTTGTGTTCTATTATTTATGTTTTCTCTATTGTTGTTTGTATTTTAAAAAATATTTTAAACACCGCCCAGAGCTGCTGGAAGTTGGGCGGGTATATAAATGTAATAAAACTATTATGCAATTCATGAACAATCCCAATTGGAGTAGGAAACAACAGTCTTAATTTTAGACAAAACTATACAGCTCCTCCTCTTCCTCAATTTGTTTTAAATTGAGGAAAAGTAGTTTGTCGAGTTTGTATATTTGATGGGACGCTACAGTTCCTGTAAAAGTGGTAAATTTTCATATACAGGCAGGCAGACTTGAGAATAAGATTCAGGGAAGCTGTTCTTCACCTGATTTTGACTAAGCAAAAAGTATTTAGTCCAACTACTTATTGTTTTTTTTAAAAAATGCTCTCAAATATAACCTAAAGATGATATCACAGTGTAAGTTTTTAAAAACAGCCCCAAGAGACATTCAGCTGCAGTTTCTGCCAGGCCACAGTTGAAGAAAAAAAAAAGACACCAACAACTGTTGGGTGATAAGATAAGAGAGTATTACTTTCTGCAGCAAATGGAAAATTGGGAAACTGAAAGCAGAGCTGAAGACCTAGATGGGCAGACCTCCAAATAATAATTGAGGAACTCTATTTTAATTGTGCAACATGGTCTATTTCTAACAATAAAGTATTATTTTATTTATTGATTCAATTTATCTTAAAATAGTGACCTTGGCTAGCGAACCATCATCAAAACAGTTAACCAGTTAAAACACAATATAAAAAGAGAAAAACAAAATAAAATTAAGTATAAATAGAAATGAAGAGATATTATAATCCAAAGGTGCCAACAAAACCAGCTGACAAACTGTCAGATCACGTCACCCGGAGGCCCCGTGAAGATATTAAATAAGAGGAGAGGTCATAAGTCACTTCTATCAGTGCCACTGTAACTTTGAATGGTCACTAAATGAATGGTTGTAGGTTGAGGACGTGATGCATCCAGCCTGCGGGCCGTGAGTTTGACACCCCTGAACTGAACCATCTCACCTGCCTCTGTTACCTTAGCAATCATCACACCCGAGCTCACTGATTGCACACAGCCATGTTAAAAACATATTGAGTCGCCATTGTTGCGCTCCTTCTCCATTGCCATGCAGCCTAACACTGTTCGGTGTGCCACAACTGGTCCATGAGCTAAAGTTGTTCTGATTGTCCAATTTCTAGTTCTGGGGGGTGGGTGGGTGGGTGATGGTCCTATCACAGCAGCAGCCCAGACAAGGAAGTAAACCCCATAAATTCTAGGCACCAAATGCAATCCTGGCCCAAGCTGCAATGCAGCCTATAAGAAAAACGAGTTTTGCGGGCTCAACAGGAAGTAACATCCACCGAGCTCAATTGATGAACCCAAATTCATGGAAACTCCACCATTTCCCAATCCAACTGTTCAAGCTGGTTCCAGTCCAACCCATCAACCTGCTACAACCTGCTAAAACTAGCTACTATTGGCAGATCTCTGCAAAACACCTGGCCTTGGAGCCATCTTAAAAAACAAAAGGTAAACAGTATTTTGAAGTAACTTCTTCAAACAAATGTACAGTAATTAATCCCCAAACAGCTAAGAAGTTATGAAAACTGGTGTCAACCCAGTCAGAAGTGTGACTTAGGAGCAAAAAACCAAAGCCATCAAATGAGCTGGAAAGATTTCAAGTCCAGGACAAAATCCAACTTTCTAGTCACTGTTATTTCTGACATGTTTGGTTGGAGCAATAGGGATAAATTGCTTTTTAATAAAATCTTTCAACTCTGAACAGGAACCACAATTTTCCTTGAAACCATTGGCATCTTAAGTAGCTTGAAAGTCACAGAGAAAAAGTTCCCTTTTCAACTTTATCTCATATTGCAAACAAGAAAGCTCCCTTTCAAAATTTTGAACATTTGTTGACTATATTTTCTGATCTGACTTTCATACAGCATTTTTATTCTTCTGTGGATAGATCCATTTCTCCAGGTTTAATTTAAGCTCAGTGTAAATGAAAAGTATAGTTTTTGCTAAATGTCTATAGAGATTCTCAATCATCCAGGTCATGGGTGTCCCATGGGTGCTTTTTCAAAAGGCAACTGGAGTTTGTTTTTCCTTGAAGACGGAAAACTTCTTGGATGAGAAGTGAAACTTCTTCAAGGAAAAACAAAGTACAGTTGCCTTTTCAAAAAGCACCTTTGGTTCAGTTTTTGCTATTAGGCGTCATCTGAATTATGGCATGTAATTTTTTTTGGCTCAGTAAATCACTTGGATCCTATGTTACACGCGGGAATGACTAGATTAGTTTACAGTGCAAGGCATATACTTATCCCAGTTAATGTATATGATGGCCTTTGAACACATATTAATGGTACAACCTTGCTAAGAATGTCTGTTGCATCATGTTTAGATGTTTAGATGTTTATTAACATTTGTAGGCCGCCCTTTTCCCTGAGGGGACTCAGGGCGGCTCACATAAAATCAGGGAGGGGGAATACAAACAATGACGTAGACACATATAATAAAAGTAATAAGCAACATACATTCATCATTCGGGAGGGGCGGCTATCCTTGTCCCCAGGCCTGACGGGCTAGCCAGTTCTTAAG